AAGAAGAAGAAGAAGAAGAAGAAGAAGAAGAAGAAGAAGAAGAAGAAAAAGAAGAAGAAACTCTAGTAGCAAGTGGAGTTCATGACTTCCATCCTTGGATGGAAGCCATGAACATGGAAGTCATGAACTCCACTTGCTGGTAGAGTTTCTTCTACCAGAGTCACAGATTGAGACTCTGGAAAGTTCCATTTTCTCTTTGAGAATGTTGAAAAAGTTGGCACCATCATGCCTAAACTCAAAGCTAGTTACCTTACCTGTGCCCAAGATAACAGTTCTTGCCATCATCACCCTCACAGTTCCCTAGGTAGCCAACCCTCCCCTCTCCGTTACCTGCCTCCCAGTGGAAAACATCTGAACTAGGAGTACCCATATATGGAATCACCAAGATGTTTCCTTTAAAACAATATCTAGGCAAGAAGAACAATTATACTTACTGGACCACAGCTTGACCCCGAGTCAGACCTTTGATTTTCAAATAATGTTCAATCACTCTGTCCTCACTGCAAAACAGGGAAATAATCATGGTGACATGTGACTTTCTGACGTCCAGATTTCATTTCTGCATTCTCAGGTAGCCACTGCAAACCTGGGAAGAATGTCTTTGCTTGGGAGGCAAAGTGGCATCCTCTGCTGCTATTGTAGAGCCCTCACTCCTGAACTCAGCACATGACTACTCCCATTGTGAGCTTTAACTTTTCATATAATTACAGAATTTGTACTCGTGTTTTTTAAAATGCCATTTACTAGGAAAGAAAACAAGATAAATTTCTCAAATGGAAAACTAATATTCTAGACACACTGTAATCTGGAGTTGGGGTAACATAGTTGAGGCAATTTTGAGTCCAAGACCTATTCTCATGGTGTTGATTAAAAAAAGAGATGTAGCTCAGCTGGCAGAGTGCTTGCCTAGCATACACAAAGCTCTGCATTCAATCCCCAGAACCACATACACCAGGTATAGCGGCCCACGCCTGTAATCCCAGCACTTGGGAGATAAAAGCAAAAAATAAAAATAAGAAAATAAAGTATTTTAAGAGAATTAAACCTGCTTTGAGTCTGACCACAATTTGAAGTCTTCTTGTTATCACTATTTTGGACACAGTAAGAGCAGCGACTATGGTGAAGTTTCAGCCTTTCTTTAGACCCCACTGTGTCCTACACTTCAGCCGGCCCTTCCAGTCATACCCCAGATGCGATCCCTGAGAGTACAGGCGTCTCTCTGAGACCAACCACCACCCAGTCCACCCTGCCCCCCCTCCACTCCACACCGCCCGTTTTAAAGAAACTTTCATTGAACAGTGATTTGTTCAGAAGGTTCCAGAGTCAGAATGCAATGTAGGCTCTGTATCTAATTTCACTGCATATTTGGGAAATGTATTCCAGCTTTCATATTTTAAAGCTATCAAAATAGAATGTTTTATGATCTTTATTTCATAATTTTTGTGTGTGCAAAGGAAGGCCCCTTCACGGTTTGGAGACTAAAACCATGGAGACTATATTTACAAGGAATACAACTAATGTGAAAGAACACAAGTGATTCTCTCAGTGTTCACTGGAGACCATGACCTCAGCACAGGGCTGTCTTGGCTTACCAGTAAGCCAGTGAGGGATGTTCCTGAAGAGTTTTGGTTGGAAAGACTGGCAGGGTCTTCAAGTCTTTCCTGGCATTCTCATCACTAGAAAGAAACACAATGCATTAATATCAGACTATCACCTGAAGAGACATCCAATCAGGTTCCCCGAGGAAGAGACCCAAATAGTTATCGTAGAACCTTGATCCCTGTCACCCACTAGAGACTGCCATCAAATAAGACAACCATATACTATACTTTGACATCTCTAACACTTTCCGTGAGCATGAATTTCATTACATAAGGTGAATGAGATGGCATGTCTGGTAGCATCACCCTCATCATCTCTAGGAGCTCCTAACATTCAGTGTGCTGGCATGCCAGTCACCATAGAACCACTCACAGAACGTTTACAAGTTCTTCAGTATAGACAGCCCACATTAAAATGGTTTACACAGACATTGTAGTCCCTCTTCTGCTATTTCCCAATCACCTCTGAAATACAACAGACAAAGCCAACCAGCTTTGGAAAATCTCTGCATAAATTTCTGGAATATAAGAGGATGGGAGAATACGTTTCTGCTAAACTCAGGGGAACCCCCACACCACCCACAGCGAACTAAAATATGCATGTATACAGTTCGGACATTCTCTAATTATAACACTGACAAATTCTATATAAAATGGACAAATTCCAGTGGTCAAGAGAAAGCTGTGGTCTTTGTAGAGAGCATGTAATACGAGCTAATGAGAGTTTGTCATGTGCTGTATGAGAGGAAAGATTCTCTAGCTGCCCCGAGTATTCAAGGAGGGAGTAAACATGTTTCTAGAAGGTCTGTTAGCTTCTTGGAAACATCCGTGAAAAGGTGGCTCACAGCTGCGAGAGTCCTGGTGTCCTCCACACCATGTTAACACTTCCTCTTTCCAACTCCCGCATCTCTTTCCACTAGCTAAACCTTGTGGAAAGGCTAAGTAGAAGGCACTATACAGTACATTTAGGACATTATTCTCCATGTGTTCCTGGATAAGGTGTGAGGTTCAGAGACACTGATTCCCTTGCTATCTGTTCGTGGCTACTGTGTAGAAGAGCAATGCCCTAGGAGTCAGCCTGTTTGGCTCCTAAGGACTGGTTCTTAACCACTGTGTTCTCCAAGGTGTCTTCTCAAGGCTCTCCTAGACCGTCCTAGAATGCTGAGGTAAGCATTCTCAACTCTGCAAAGGCATGACCCCTTATACCCTGTGATGGCTATTCTTGTTTGTCACCTTGATGGGACTTAGAAACATCATGGAAACACACATCTGGGTGTGTATATCAGAGCATTTGCAGGAAAGTTTAAGTGGAGCAAAAGCCCACTCTGAGTGTCACTATCCCATGGGCTGACATCATGGACTGATAAAGGAGGAAGAGCCAGCTGATCACCATCATTCACCTCTCTCTGCTTCCTGACTATGGATAGAAGGCAACGAGCTGCCTCATACTCTTGCTGTTATGACTTCACTGCCATGCCTTCCCCACCATGATGGACTGTATCCCTGTAAACCGTGAGCCTGAATAAACCTTCTCCTCCTTAAGTTATTTCTTGCCTGGTATTTGATCACAGCAATGAGAAAGGTGACTAATACACTCTTCTCCCAGGCGCCAAGAAAAACACTGGCAAGTTTTAAGACTTACCATTTCAGGCATTTTCAGATTAACTTCCTATATTAATACCTTTTCTGTGGCTGTGATAAAACACCATGACCAAGGCAACTTGGGCTCACGGTTTACTTTGAGCTCATGGTTCCAGAGACATGAGTCCATCACCGTGATGGCAGAGAAGCATAATAGCGAGCAGCAGAGGTGACAGCTGAAGCAGAAGCAGAGAGCTCACATCTGGAACTGAATGTAGGAAGCAGAACTCAAAATGGCAAGAGTCTTGAAATAGTAATGCTCTCCCCTGGTGACATACTTCCTGTAGCAAGGCCACACCTCTTAAGCCACTCCAAACAGAAACCAACTGGGAACCAAGTATTCAAATACCTGGACTCTAGGTAACATCTCATTAAAACCACCACACTTTGCATTATACTGAAGCCTATGAACCTCTTTGTGAAGGACCAAGAGCGAATTTCCTTTCAAATCATTCATCTAGCCCTCAGAGACGAAGTGCACATCCATATAATGGAAGGGATCCAAAAGAAAAAGAGAGAAGAAACAACAAGCCGGGGATCAAAACACGGCCTCCATTCAATCTGTGAGGCCTACTCCTATCGTTAGGCATAGCACTCACTTTTATGACTCAGCCAGTTGAAAAGCTTTTCCTTTGTTTTTCTGGGTTTATCTATTCTAGAGATTTCTTCAGAGATCAGCTTTGTAAAGACGGTTGACTTGGCCCATTGCATTTCAGAGGGGAATAGGGAGAGAGCAGAAGAGTGACAGCAATGTCCACGTAAATCGTTTCACTGCTGGATGTCTAGGCTGAAGAACTTGAAGTGGGCTCCGCTAACACTCAATGTATTTTCCTAAGAGGAGGGCTGGGGTGAAAGGCTCAGCTTTCTTAATCGCTACAGGAAATAAAAAGTCTCTTGGCTCCCGTTCTTACTTAAGAATAACTCTCTCTACTCACTTGGAATCTGAGAGGTAGGACTTAATCAAACTGACGATCTTGGGAAACTGGTTTGTGCTTCTAGAAAATCAAAATATACTACAGTCCAATGTATTCATATTAAAGGTCAACTGTCAACTACTAGGACTGATACTTATTTTCTTAATAATTTTATGCTCTGTCCTTTAAAGCTCTCTGACTCTCTCTCTCTCTCTCTTTCCTCCTCTCCCTTCTCCTTTTCCCCTCCCCTCTATCTTTCTGCATCTCTCTGTTTGCCAACTTTGAAGCCCAGGGTCTTGCTATATAGTTCAAGCTGGCCTCAAGTTCATGATCCTCCAGCCTCTGACTTTTCAATACTGTAGAATCAGGCAGGAGTCACCACACCAGGCTAGGACAGTACTTTTTTGCTGCCACTCATCACCATGTATAATGCTGTATTTCAGATCCAGGTGAACCACAGGGCATGTTCCAAGAACCCATGTTCCAAGCTCAGCATCTAGGATAGCTTTGCTTTTACAGTTAATTTTGTGGCAATGAGACTTCAGTAGCCTGGAATTCATTTCTCATAAATTTATTTATTCATTTGCAGTAAGTGTAAAACACATGTGTAACATGGGGAACTTATAAAAATGAATAGAGCCAGAGAGATGGTTCAGTAGTCAAGAGCACTTGCTCTTGTGGGGGACCTGGGTTCAACTGTGAGCACACAGAAGCTCACAATCACCTGTAATTCTAGTTCCAGCGAGTCTGACACCCTTTTCTGAAGGCAGCAGACACTGCATACATGTGCTGCGCACACATACGTGAAGGCAAAACACTCACACATAAATAAATATATTTTTTTAAAAATTATAAACATGCAGTCAAGACAAAAGAGGGAAGACAAAAGGGGGAAGGAAGCAAAGGAGACATTATATCCACTATTCCACCCAATAAACTCACTGATGAGAGTTAGTATGAATAGACATTCTGGTTCTTTTAAGATAGCTTGGGTTCCAAGTCCCACCCAATGCACGTATCTTGAGCACTTAGCTCATCATGCATGACTGCCCAACATAAGCACAGACGGTGTCCGACACCCACACAGAGAAACAGCTCTATGTTTCAAATGGTAAATATGGCCTGTAAGAATTCCCAAAGATGAAGTTTGGTCTTGGAGATGTCACTTTGCTAAGATCTCTTAAGAATTACTTGTTTTTTTCAAGAATGATTTCTATTCTAGACAGCCAGAACCTATTGCAGTCATAAAATAGGATATTTATTTACCCTTCATTGTAAAGTGTGGTGTTATTTGCCTAGAAATGCTGGCTGAATAAATCAATAAATTTCCAAAGGTTAATCATCCCAAACAATGACTAGTCACCCATTAAGAGCCTCCTACAGTACTAATCCATCATCAAGGGACAGCTAATATAGACACGTTAATAGGAAAGCAGCATGGGGATTATTTCAAAGAATTCCAGTTAGTTTAAAGAGGAGCGAGCAGGCTCTGGAGAGATAGTTCATCCATTAAGAACACAATGCTTTTACAGAGTACCTGAGTTGGGTCCTGGCACCCATCTGGGGTGACTCACAACCACCTGTAACCCCAACTCCAGGGAATCCAACACCCTCTTCTGAACTCCACTAACACCAGCACTCACATGTACACAACCCACACAGACACACAGATAAACACATAAGTAAAAAAAATATATTGCATCTTTTGTTTTGTTTTTTTTTCTAAGAGAGGAGCCAGCAATGAGATCTCCATACAAAGAAGATTTGCACCCATGGGACAGATGGAAACTATTAAAAACTGAGCCTGTGCCAAACACAGACTGACTTTTCCTGGTCATTATGGTGTAAACAATACATAATCATGACCTACTTAGCACTTTCACTGTAGTAAGCATAATCCATCAAGAGGTGATTCAAAGTAAACAGGCATGTGTGTGGGTTACATGCAAATACTAGACTACTTTATATAAGGGACCTGAGCGTCTCTGGATTTTAGCAGAAAGGGAGGGAGGTCTTGGAACCAGTTCCTCATGGGTGTCAACACTCTACACTCTGCTTCAGAAGAAGAGATGGATGATGGTGGGGGTGGAGGGTGGGGGCGTTTAAGGTGGTGATTTTATCTACATGGTGCTGTAAAGGAGCATATGCGACTATGCATCTGACTGGATCTGTTGAACTATACACTTGTCTATGGACTTTTATCACAAACACATAACCATGACTTACATAGCACTTTCATTCTGTACGATATTACTATTAGGTATCACGAGGAATCATGGGTAGGAAGGAGTGAACTACAAACTCAGCACTGACTGCTCAATTTGCCTTTCAGTTTAAAGCTCTAAAGAGCATAGTCTACTAAGAATAAAAAGAAGAGGGAGACCTCCTTTAGATTTTATTTTCTCACCCTGAGATAGGGTTTCTTAGACAGAGTTTCTTTGTGTAGCCCTGGCTGTCCTGGAACTCACTCTGTAGACCAGGTTGGCTTCGAACTCGGAGATTCACCTGCTTCTGCTTCCT